CATCCTTATTTGGATAATAAGGCTAATATTTTGAAAATACTTTCTCTTTGTCTTTCTTGAGTACATGATTCTGATCTGTCCTAAGCATCCATCAGCCCCATGACAGGTAAGAATTCTGTAGAAGGAATTCTAACAAAGCAAAAAGAGCATTCACTATTTAGTTGCTGATTCAAAGTAGCATTTTCAACAAGATAGTAGCCTTACAGGCCAAGCTATTGTCTTAAAATGCTCTAAATTCCTTTATCTCTCAATTTTAGCACATCAAGAACCATGTCTAGAGGACTCAGCTCATAGAGAAGAAATAGCCCTTAGGTCTGTGCTGTGGGCCAGGGAGGCTTGCTGGTTGATGGACTATTTGACCTAGGAAAATAAAAAGGAAAGTGTACCCCTCCTGGCCCAGGGGACTTGGGGATGAAGGAGAAGAGACAGGTAGAAGGGTCAGGGAAACAGAGATGCATCTGGGAAACCCCCTGTGGCCCTTTGCTTGGGTATCTTTCCAAGGCTTTGGAGGGAGCCAAACAGCCTACCTCTGACCACTACCCTAGGGTCAACACCCCTGTGCTTACTCTGGAAGGAAGTGGAAGTTTTCCTGAGAAGAAGTAACTGAGAAGAGACATAGGACCCGTGGAAGCTTCCACCCACTAGACAGTACCCTTATCTCCCCAAGGCCATGAGGTCACAGCAATCACCCCTTCCCATTTACTCAGTGAGGAGAGCAGAGGAGATGGAGACTTTATGAGAAACTGAACATTTTTATGCAAAAGTGACCAAGAATTCTCTAGAGGACTATTTATGACATCAGACTAAGTTGTAATCCAGAACTGACTAAAATAAAGTCTTTCTCCCATCACCCAGGGGTTGGGGCTCATAAGGAAGACAACAGCAGTTAAAAACAGAACCAGTGTACATCCGGGGAACTGTTAGCTTGCCCATGCATCTGTGCCCTGAAAAAGTCCAAGACTCAATGTTTTTATCTGTTAAATGGATATAAATAAAATTCCCATCTCAGTAACTTCACTGTGTACTTAAATGATAGGTTGTGTAAACATCCCCAGTCTACTTGAGAAATTCAGTTAGTATATTTCTTGCTGGTGCTGGATCTGAGCATGTGAGAGACACAGTGGGACAGAAGGTCCTTGGCCTGGGGCCAGCTCCCCATAGCCATGATTGTCTTCTCCATGGGAGAGTTGAAGAGATGCCTGTCCAGGCTGCAGCTGGTGGTCGGAGGCGGCCCCCTGGTTCTTACCTCTCTCTCTCTGCAAGTTCACGTGCCAGAGAGAAAACACACGTGAGGAGCTGAGGTGCGGGACGCTGGGCCCACAGAGCTGCTCCTGTCCTTCCAAAGAGTGCCTTTGACATCTGTTCCGCTCTGTGTGAATTCTGAGCCCCAGAGAGTCTGCGTGGCTGCTTGCTGAGACCCCTGCTGCACAAAGAATGCCAGCAAAGCAGGGCTGAGCCGTGCTTGCAAGAGCTTGTTGGAGGCTGAGCCAGAGTCTTGGCTCTCTGGTCCTCATTCAGCCTCCATGCCGTGGTAAGAGTATATTATTTTCTTAGCTCAAATTGCCGTTTCCAAGTCATTATTTCTCTACGACGAGAAAACAATATTGGTTCTTATGTAATATCAGCCTCAATGAATCTGGAAGTGATCATGGAATGGGTGGATTTTTTTTCCTCCTTAAAAAGGAGAAAAATAAATTTGAGATTGTTTGCATATGGCTGAGAATATTTATGAACTATTCCCCTTGTTTCCTCATCACATATTTTACCCGGTGCATTTGCGTGTGGTACAGAATAAATCTTCACGGGAAGGGCGGGTGGAGAGAGGGGCAGGAAGCAGTTAAAGGACAGAGGGAGCCGTCAAGGGCCTAGGGTGTTACTGCTCCTGACTCTTAGGGTCCCCTGGCCTCAGGCTTGCTGGGGTCTGAGGGTTGCCCTGTCCTGCTGCTCAGAGGAAATCTTCAGGAGGGAAGGTTTCAAATGTGAAAACTGAGGGGATTAACATCTCTTTGTCCCTCTGGTTTCTTTCACAACCTCCTCACTCTTACCAGAGCAGAAAGTTCAACACTAGTGATTTCGTGACCTGGGTGCTGTCGGCCAAAAGAGATAATTAAATTCTATGCATGCCAGTCAAGGACAGGGTCAGAGGAAGAAGTTGGCAGGTAGGAAGGAAAAGAACTGGCAGAGGACGTGTTGGTGCTGGCATCTGTTAGTCAAGAAAAATGGCCATGTGTTAGCACAGACGTGTTGTGTCTGTCCTCTCCCCACAACCCCCCCACCACGGCCATGTCTCTCACACAGCGCGTCACCAAGAATGATCCAGACAGAGCATAAGGGACGGGGGTGTGGCTGGACGTTACATCAGGATGGGAGGCAAGGCTCTGGGCTGTTGATTATCCTCTCTGGAGACTGGGCCTCAGAACTGGAGCATCTGAGAACCATTCAATGCTGCCCCATGGGTTTTTGAGGAATATAACTGATGGAGAGTATGGGGTCAGGGACAGAGAGCAGACAGCTGTCACATTTGGTCCTGCAGTAGCAAAAGCAATCATAAAGACGTCTTAATATGGGGCGGGCGTGGTAGGAGGTACTTTTCCCTGCATAATCTGAATCAGGCCTCACCATGGCCTCAGGAAGATTAGGATCTTCATCTCACAGTTGAGATGAGAAAACTGAAACCAGTGACATTGAGGAGCTTGCCCAAGGTCACACTTCGTTGTAAGTTCCAGGATCAGGGACGTTCCCAAGATTTGTGGGGTCTGAAGCCAATAGAATAAATATAAATAGGGAATTTTAAAAAATCTAGTTCAAGGCTTTGGAAGGGGCCCATGGGATGAAGGAAACAAAGCTCAGACTTGAGCAGTGTCACAACAAATCCATCCTGGGCAGGGTTGAAATTTAAGCACACACTTTGCTCCAGGCCGTGCAGCCCCTCCCCTGCTGCCCCTCCTCCTCTTCTCTTTACCAACTACTTGCTTCACATTCCTGATCAAAAATGCACAGACTCCAGCAATGACGGTGATACACAGACGACATCCTCAGCACACACCCCCTTGGTATGTCACATGGATGTCATAGCTACGGTGTACGGTGACAGCCATGCCCACTGCCACACTTTATCCTTGCACCTCAAGAGCTCAAGGAGACATAGTTGAGATGTATCCAGAACTGTCCTCCCAAGGAACTCCAGTTGCTCTTCTAGGCCTCTTACCAAATGTCACTATCGTTCCCGCACTGGGGGACTTGGGCACAGACTCACGCAATGGCCTGCTCGGGTCTCCAGCGGGCATTTTGTAATTACAAGCAGCAATATTTCATTTCCCTTCATCATCCGTCTCTGTCCCTTGGATTGATATCTGTTGGTCTGATTTCAATAGGCACTCTATTTGATTTTTCCTTTCTCCATTATAATCAAGATTTTGTCATAAGCGCCATAACTGGAAGGGGTGGAGGGATTCAAGGAAGCAAAGAAACCCAATATAGATCACAAGCGCTTCGGTGGGGCTGGGAGTGGGGAGCATAATAACCATTGTCCCGCACCCGCCTCTACCATTGTCCTTGAGGCTTGCAATCCCGTCCTAGTCTAGACAATTGCTAAGGAGAATACAAGCATTTTTCCCAGCCCTGTTCCCTCTCTTCTCCCAAACGGGAAACTCAAAGCAGATGATGAAGTACAAGTTCAAATGCCACACCAGGGAGAAGGAAGTATTGAGAAACTACGTCCAACCTCCAGCCTGTTTTCAAACATTCCAGTAAGTGTTCAATTGATTTATCTTGGGCTGGTGTTGTTTCATTGTCTCAAACAAAGGCCTTCTATGAAAAGACCAACTTGGGTTATGGGAGGAGGCTAACAGAAGGCACATTTGGGAAAAAGTAAATAAGAGTCCCATCCTCTGGGCTTTTCCCACAGGGGCAGCATCCCTCTTTCATCTGCCAGAATTAACATCAAGACTGATTCATGTTACCTCCGCATCATACTCTACACCAGAGTCTGGGGAAAAGAAAAAAAAAACCTCAGCCTTGGGGATAGGGTGATGATACAGGTGCAGTGGCCGGGGACCCGACCTACCATCTCCTCTGTCGGTGTCCTTGGAGCTCGGGTGGTCAGAGTTCTGTGTCTGGAATTGACTGTGAGATTTTCAACAGATTGGTTCCAAGTGACGGATTGGTTCTACTCTTGCATCTAAATGAATTATGGATGGGAAATTATTGGGGCAAGACTGTAAAAGTCTTCTGCCACATTGTCATCCTTTGGATGTGCATTCTCTGAACTATGTCCATGACTGGTTTCCATGCATCTGTGTCGGTACATTCATGGTGGAGCTCTCTGCCTGGTGGGCCAGCCCTTCCATTTTGGACATCTCCGATGTTTAGATCAACCTTCTTCAGATTACACGAAGTATTACCCTTCTGGTATCCATTGGCCCTGTAAGGGCAACACGAAGCAGGGAGGCTTACTTTGCTATGTTGTGTCTTCCTGGAAGCCTTGTCCCCTCCCCTTCTTATGCTAGTCGGTTGGTGCTTCCATAGTTAATGCTCCCACAAAGTCTGGCACGTATCTCTGTCCTAGGATTTCTAAGCAATTATTTACTAAGTGAATAGCCCTTTCCTTCTGCATTATTATGGGGGTTAATTGTGGAATATTGGCAAAATATTGAGAAGCAAAATAGAAAACGAAAATTGACTCTTATTGTTTCTATTGGAGATAAGCACTCTAAAAACTTTGCTATGTATCCTAATGGTTGCATGTCTATATTTATGTTTTTTTTATTTTAAAGGATTAGTTAGTGTTTACTGTTTGGTTAAGGTTTGCTTTTTCAGACCACTTGACTCTCTTCTGCTGCATTGTGTTAGTGGCTTGCAGGTGTTCTACAGTGTGTGGGAGCTGGCTGTGTGGTGGGGGGCACAGAATTCAGGATAGGCTCCTTTACTCTGAAGACCACTAGTTGTTTCCAGCGGCAGGAAGGTTGACTGAGGAGTCTTCTTCTGCTGTTTCATGCCAGCCCTTGAGAGAGGCCTGACCAAGGCACTGAAGAAACTGGACGATTACCTGAACAACCCTCTCCCAGAGGAGATCGACGCCAACACTTGTGGAGACGAAGACAAGAGGTCCCGACGCAAATTCCTAGATGGAGACGAGCTGACCCTGGCCGACTGCAATCTGTTGCCCAAACTCCATGTGGTCAAGGTAAGACGGCTCTGTCTGCAGGTTGCTTGCCATATCCAACTCCATCAAAGGTCCACATCAGCTGCATGGATGAGTCAGGGACAGTGCCACCTGCTGGTCCAGAGCCTGGGCTCTGAAGTCACAGGAATAGGAATCCAAAGTCAGCCTCCACTGCTTGCTGGCTGTATAGACTCTCCCGGCTTCCGTAAAATAGGCATGTATTACTTACTTCTTAGTCTTAGTTTTACTTCTTGGCTGGGAGAAGAAATACGGCATGACAGTGCCTGGCATATTATAAAGGCTCAATACATATAGTAGTTGCTATTGTCGTAGCCTGTGTGGTTACACATACATTTATATGTGTATGCATATGTTTATAGATAGATATATAGAGCGCCTCTTCCTTGCCTCTGCCTCAAAGCTTTCCACTGGCCATACCCCCACATTTCTGTGAAGTTGCTTCATATGCAAGCCTTCTCATTCCCTCTAGTAACTCCCTAGGGCAGGCGTGTATCCTCTTCCTCATCTATCAGTTGAAGAGGTGGAGGCTGCAAGAAAGTGACGTCATTTTCTTTCCATGGTTGTCCTCCCTGATCAATGTTGACATGCAGTGTAATCCTGTCCTACAAGAATTCTAGGATCTGAGAGTTGGAAAGAAGGGAATTCCAAGGTCTACCTAAACTGTCCCCCACCCCCACTGGACCACTTTCTGCATGTCTGTGACAGATTTCCATGTAGCTGTCGCTGCACGCTCCCTGCCGAACGAGTCAGCCCTATCATTTTGGATGACTCTGATCGTTAAAACATCCTTCCTTTTTTTTTTTTTTTTTAAAGGAGGTGGCAAGGAGAGGGGAGGGGAGAGAGAGAATCTCAAGCAGGCTCCATGCCCAGTGTGCAGCCTGATGTAGGGCTCCGTCTTACAAACTGTAGGTCATGACATGAGCCGAAATCAAGAGTCAGATGCTTAACCAACTGAACCACCCAGACGCCTCTAAATACATCCTTTCTTATATTGAGCCAAACCGCTTCCCTTCTTCCCTTTGTTCTCTGGAGCAGCACAGAACAGGGCTGCTCTGTTTCACCCCATTCAAAGACAACAGTCGTGTCCTGATGTTCATTCTCTAAACTATTGCTTCTTCTTACATCCTTTCCTGGCCCTCACCAGCCAAGAGAAACACACAGTAGGACCATATCACTAGACTGTTCTAGTGTATACTTTTATACACACTTCTGTGTCTCAGTGAGACATATGACTGATTATATTATATCATGTGTCTCAGTCAGACAGCAAGCTCTGTGGAGACAGTGGCTTCTCCAAGCACGATGGTGGGCACAAGGTAGCCCTTTCATAAATATTCATTGATTGACCATTCAGTCACCTCACTTGTGTCTTTATCATACCATTTTCCTTCTGCCCTTCACTAAGAAGAATCAGATTCAATCATTCATCAGCTGGATATCTGCCTATCGTTTTCCTGCTGAAGTCCTGAGCTAGAAATGTGGGCTTCCCTCTAATCAGAGCACAACCAGCTTGAATTGAAATCTGACCTGTGCAGGCCCCAGTGTTCCCGCAGGACTTGGTCAGAGCTGGAGATTGGGCGGGAATCACTTGGGCCCTTACTGATGGGCTGGGAAAATGCAGTCTGTTAATATGAAGACACTTTGGGTCCAGGGCCAAGTCAATGGTTACTTGTAAGTCCAGCCAAGCTCCATGTTTCTGAAGTTCTTAATGACTGCATGCCCCACCACACCCCCGGAAACATCTTTTATTCTCTTTTCCTGAGGAACGAGTGGCACCATCAGGGATGGTATAATTCTAGTTCAGTCACAGTGTGTCAGTGTGACGTATTGGAAAGACCCCCATTCAGAAAGTCACGAGACCCACGTCCTGGCTGGGTATCTGCCACCCACCAACAGCATGAGCTGGGGCAAGCCACTGACTCTTTCTGGAATTCATTTTTCTCATGCTTAAATGAAGAGACATAAAGTATAGTCCTTCTAGCTTCTTTCTTCTCTCTTCCTTTACTCCTTCTTTGTTCTGTCTTACTTAAACTTATACTGACTACCCACTCAAGAATTTCCTGTTGAATAAGGTAAACAAATGGACCCCCCAAGGCCCTGTTCTTCATCCCCTGGCTCCTCCAGTACCCCCCAGCCCTAAACAACCACGCTCCGCCCGTGTCCTTGGATGGAGTTCAGTGAGTTCCTCACTTGGGGGAGCTGGGGATCAGAGGGAGGATGGCCTGCAAGGGGACAAAGGCCGGGCCTCGCCTTCTGTCTCCTTGGATTTCTGCTGATCCAACTTATCAGATCCCAGAGACCTGGCAAACCCCTGTCCTGCAGAAAGAGTGAAAGGGGAGCCAAGTCAGGCCTCCAGTTTGGCTCCTGAGGCCAAAACCTAATCTGGGCTGTGGGAGCTAACTGTTTTCATATGAAAGAGCAAATTCAGACCATGAACATGGACGTTCCTGTGAACATCAGAGCCCCTGTGCTCATTCTTGCCCGCGCTCTCTCTCGCAATCTTGCGCTCTCTGCCTCTCTTGCCTGGCTCTCATTCAGGTTCATCTTCATTCTCCCTGAGAGCCTGGTTTGAACTCTCACTGTCTGGCTCCCTTCTAGTCCTCATCCCCTCAAAGCAAGCCAACATGTGAGGAAAGAACCAGAGACGTGGCCAAGTCTCAGGGCGTGCAGATCCAGGCAGGGAGGGGAATGGCAGGCCTTCTGGAGGGGTCCTTGGGACCTGTGCCTAGCACAGGGACCCGCTTTAGCCCCTGAAGCAAACAGCAAAGGAGACATAAGCACAAGTATATACCCATACATCGCCCTTCTGCTGTTTTAAATCTCACAGTGCATCCTTTAAAAAGGAAAACAAATCCCAGCATGGAGAGACTTGAGGCCGCACCATCTGTCCGTTTGTGACCCGCCCCTCCTGCATGGTCTTGCTCCTTAGCCATGACAGCTTCTTCTCAAAGGCTCTTGGACAAACCCAAGGGACCCTCACCCTGCAGTGGGAGGGGTCAAGGAGGACTGGCAATGGGTGTTGTCTCCAGCATTTGCTCATGGCCAGTGCTCTGCCAGAGACTCAGATGCCATCCCCTTTGCCTCTTAGTCACACCTAAGCTGGACAACGTTGTGAGGATGGCTTTTTGGTGACCAGCCCGAACCAGTTCTCTTAACAGAGAGAATTTAATAGAAAGAAGCAGTAAGTACTGAAGAACTAGGAAGGCAAAATATACCACGGTTCTACTTGAGTGAGGCGGCTGCGACCGTAGGGCAGCGGAGGCAAACGGAAGAGATTGGAATGATCTAAACATGGAAACTTTGATGAGGGGCCCTTGCCAAGTCAACCTTGGACCTCTGAGGTGGGGCACGCTGAGCTGCTGCTGGGGGCTAATTTGAGGGGATGACCCCCATCCCCTGCTGTGGGGTCACTGTTGTGTGCTGGCCTCTCTCAGCTAGGGTGAGGACACTGGTTCCACTAGTGGTGGCAGAAGGAGAAAACTGGACTCAGCTGTTGCTACTGGGGCAAAGGAGAGTCTGATGGGAACAGGATGGCCAGGACAGAAAGGGGCGGCCCTTCTCCCTCCTCCAGCTTTGCAGACTCTCTCTCTCTCTAGCGCCCCCTCTTGGCAGTACCTAATGGGAAGTCCCTGGCCGGACAGCTGTGATTTGCAGATTCCCCGCCCATGTGTCCCAGCGTCCCAAAGAAACAGAAACGAGGGTGGTTTGGAGATAAGCAATGACAGCTGGATAAGCGGCGCACACAAGGGATTCCGAGTACAGCCCTACCTTTCTCATTGGTGCAGGGCTGGGCGGCCACGTAGAGAGAGAGAGGAAGGACTGTCATGGGAACATCAGGCCCAGCAGAAGGTGTAGAGGCAATGATATTGTAATATAATGTAATGATATTGGTATTGTAATAGCATCCTTTGGTGACAGATGGGAGCCACACAGCTGATGAGCACAGCCGAGCATATAGACCTGTCCAGTCACTATGTGTGCACCTGAAACTGACGTGACATTAGGTGTCAACTATCCCCAAATAAAACGAGGAAAGCAAGGACTGTAATAAACATTAGTGATTACTCAAAAGATACCGGTTGAATTAATTCATTTCCCGTGTCATCTTGTGGAACCCACTTGGGCACTTGACAGGTTCAGTCTGCTCGTTGTTAAGGATCTTCAGGCTCTAAAATTAGGTGAGTTTCTTACATTTGACTCTAGATGCACTTTGATTTAGGACACCTGAAGATAGTAAAGATGCAATACAGCCGTTTATTGAATCCTTACTTATCGAACTTCTCTTTGCCTTACTTTCCTCATCTCTATAATGGGAATACAATACATTCTTCCTTATGGAGTTATTTAGAAGTTTAAGAGGATTGCATAGTGCTCAGAACAGCCTGGAGCAGAGCACATAGTAAATCAATGCTTGTTAGTGTCACTACTCTTATAAACAGTGCTACTGAGGGGCGCCTGGGTGGCTCAGTCAGTTAAGCATCTGCCTTCAGCTCATGTCATGATCCCAGGGTCCTGGGATGGAGCCCTGCATTGTCACTGGGGTTCCCTACTCAGCGGGGAGCCTGCTTTCCCCCCCCTCAACCCCCTTACCCTGGCTCTTCTCTCTCTCTTGCTCGCTCTCTTTCTCTCTCACTCAAATAAATAAAATCATAAAAAAAAAATTTACAAAAGCCTTAGCGTTGAGCAGGCAGTATAGAAATGAAGAAGCTGAGTTTCTGCCCTTATACTGCTCACAAGCTAGGGAAGAGAGAGAGAGGATACTAAAACAGTAATTGCAATTCAGAATAGAATAGAGCTGACTATTGGGACAGAATTTCCAAACTGATGCAGGAGAATGGAGGGGGAAAATGCATGCTCCTTGGGAATGTGGTCAAACCGATGAGGCTGAGCTTTTCACACAATAGGGTCATCATTGTGTTCACTCAGCACAGCTTTCCAGGGAACCCTGACCATCACTGGCACCAAAATGAAGATGAAAGCCCAGCGTAGCTGAACTCCGGGGTTCTCTGAGTGGGAGGATCCCAGGGCCAGCAGTCTGAAGACCTCTCTAAAAAGAAAACAAGGAAAGGAGGCAGAAGTCAGGGACACCTGTGTGGCTCAGTTGGTTAAGCCTCGTCCTTTGGTTCAGGGCATGATCCCAGGGTCCTGGAATTGAGCCCCACATCAGGCTCCTCGCTCAGCGGGGAGCCTGCTTCTCTCTCTGCCTCTGCCTGACACTCTTCCTTCTTGTGCTCCCTTTCTCTTTCTGATAAATAAATAAAATCTTAAAAAAAAAAAAAGAGTCAGAAGTTAGTGCCTTAGGAGAGAGAGTACTCTTTGGTATTCCCACCCCTGCCCCTAGAGGCCTAGAAGCAAGAGGAGCTGATGTGCAGACCCCAATGTACAGTTACAATAAAGGAGCCCCGTTAAAAAGTACTCAGAATTTCCAGCCAGTGACAGCAGAGCCTGCAACCAAACATAAGCCCTTCTGAGTTTGAGGCCCCATGTAAAGACAAAGGTCACCCTCTCTGCATGCAAATGGGCAAAAGATGGGTCTCAGGAGATAATGTTTCTTGAGCACTCAGGATGAGCCAGCCATCCCTCTAAGCATTTTGTGTGTATTAATTTTATGTGTATTAATCTGTTCCTCCAAGGTAGGTCTTATTATGACCTTCATTTTAGAGATAAAGAAATTGGGTCTCAAGGAGGCTAAGTAGCTAGTCCAAGGTCACACAGCTGCTAAGTGGTGGAGTAAAATGGCAGATTCAGTCCGTGGGGCTTCAGAGCCCATGTTCTTAACTGCTATGCTACTGTTTCAGCACAAACAGCACCTCCCCAGAATGCCCAGCCATAGCCCCCATGTGTGCAAACTACGAAGAGAAGTCACGATTTGTTCACCCCCGCAGCGTACATGGAACCTGCATGTACATTCCAACATCTAACTTCCTTTTTATGCTTTTTGTTCTCCCCTATGAATAAGGTGTTTAGGTAAAAAAAGTGGATGAGGAGATAAAATTTATAATTCTATCAGTTAGCCATAACCACTGGTAACATATTGGTATAGATACTTCTAGTCTCTGCGTATATTTCTCCAAATGCATTATACTGCACTTTAAAAAAATTTATTACTTTTTTGCACTGCACTTGAAACTTAGCAATCTTTTTTTTTTAATGATTTTCCTTATTTATTTGAGATAGAATTTGATAGATTTATTTGAGCAGAGGGCGGAGGATGACTCCCGACTGAGCAGGGACCCCAATGGGCCTCTGGATCCCAGGACCCTGGGACCATGACCTGAGCCGAAGGCAGATGCTTAACCCACTGAGCCACCCAGGAATCCACTTAATGATCTAAAAGAGTCTTCCAGATGGCTGAAACTTCCTTTGCAGCATCATTTCTAAAGGCTCTCCAGCACGGCATTGGATTTACCTATGATAATGCATTAATTCATGTACCTATTGCTGGACATTTCTTTTCTCTGTCATTTTTTCCACTCTTGCATTTTTTACTCTTGATCCCATGATCACAGATACGTAGCTAATCTTTCTGATGATTTCCCAAGGAAAGTCCCTCAAACAAGAATGAGTACGTCAAAGGGAAAATTACATTTACTTATGAAATAAATAAGATTAGAGAAGATGGAAAGAAGGCAGTTCCACCTGCCACCTTGCACGATACACATTCTGCTGCGGGGTGGTGGGGCGTGATGCACGCAGGGTCTCTACCCCCCACCCCCACCCCCGCCCCCCGTGCATGCACACCCGGTCCCACCACTAACTCCTTCTCCCGGGTTTGTCTCCTGCCTTCACGCCATCTTGGTCCTGCTGTCTGTATTGTAGATTGTGGCCAAGAAGTACCGGAACTATGACTTCCCGGCCGAGATGACGGGCCTGTGGCGGTACCTGAAGAACGCCTACGCGCGGGATGAGTTCACCAACACCTGCGCTGCTGACCAGGAGATCGAGTCTGCCTATGCCGACGTCGCCAAGCGCCTCAGCCGGTCCTGAGCTCGGCCGCCTCGCCCTGCCACTGGTAGCACAAGGACTCCGCTTCTCCCAAACCAACTCCAGCCTCACTGACTCCCCTTCCGCATTGCCTCGGGAAACATCGTTTGGTCGCTGGCCACCTCTTGCTGGCCCCATGGACTCTAGCCAGCTGTGTCTTAGGAAGGTCCCAGCCGACCCCATCTGATCCCACCAGCATCTGCAGGCGGCAGTGATAGACACCCTCAAGCTCTCAGCCTTTGGGCCTGGTCCGGCTTTCAGTGTGTTTGGGGTCAGCCCTGGAGAACCTGCCTAGGGGACTGTCCCTGGCCCCTCTGCCAATACCAGATTCGCTGCTTGGCTGCGGTAGCAACATGCAACCCTGTGTCTCCTTCCCCCTCCTTGTTGGTAACTCCTTGGCCAAGGACAGATGCCATCAAAGATCTTACTAGAAAGAGAGCCACCCCATTTGGGGGAGACAGAGAGAGTGAAAGGAGGACAGGCAGGCTGTGGATTGAGCGGCTGGCACACACACCTTCAGTCCCTCTCTGCTTTCTGACGCTCCGGTCACACAGGGCACTGAGGACCAGACTGTAACACCATTTTAGACTGTCTCTGTAGGCTGCAGGGTGAGGTCATGATGCTCTCATGTATCTGGGGGACACCCACCTCTGTGCTATGCTGTCCAGGCCTTTTGAGAAAGCGAAGTTGGCATGCAGTCGCAAACTGGGGTGTCTGGGAAGGAGAGGGGGAAGAGTGTCGATGCCAAAAGGCCCACGGGGTCTACTAGCCATGGGTTTGCTTGCTTAGCGGTAGTTTTGTTGGAGGTGACATGCCCAGGTTTGACAGATCCACGAGTGAATTTCATTCTGTGAGAAAGCAGATGGAAGGTGGGAGCAGGGGATGGGGGGCGGGTGAAGATAGAGAAGTTCTTTATGAGGATCAAGGTTCCCTGGGAATCTTTCACACAGGTCTTCTTTCTCATGATCTCACAAAGTCTTGAACTGCTGATGTCATGTCAGTACTAACCAAGAATTGGCCAAAACTGACTTTCCAGTCTCTTCAAGTGGTTCCCGAATGTGGGTCTGCCAGCCCGGTGGGGCTCCTGGCTGAGCTGGCTATAGCCTCTGATGGGTAAGAGATGGCATGATCATGGAACACCTTAGGAAGAAAGTCCATGGGCCTTTCTGACTGGGAAACCATGTGGCTTGAACTTGAAGAAAAGTAGATGCCCCTGCCATCTGACTCACCTGCCAGATGAAAAAGGAACTTTTTTTTAGCTAATATTTCTCTCCTCAGTTGCTTTCCTTCAGTTTTACCTCCTTCAAAGCTCATCTGGCTTGAGCTTAGGGAACCTGTGCAGAGGGAACTAAGAAAAATGAGTTAATCATCAGCCCTCTGTCCTAGTGGTGGCCTGTGAGAACAACCAGACATCATAGACCGTCACCTTCAGCAGCTCTCCCATCCGGGCTGCCCGGGGGGCAGAGTGAAGTTCCTGAGTGCCAAAAAGCCCCGGGACATGGCTTGTTGCCCAGGAATGTCAGGCAACAACGGTCCTTTCCATAGAAACATTGGCACATCGTTGGCCCAGCCACCCCCAGACAGAACTTTGTCTCCAGGGATCTCTGAAGAGATCACGTGGCCGTGATCTTAGCAGAGGGGAGGAAGCAGGAGCCCCTTGAGCCCAGTGAGGAAGAGGAAATTTCTCAGTAGGATGTTTTATTAGCCTGAGAGCTTTGCAAGGGCAAGAGGCATTGATTCATTCCTTCCCCTAAAGAAACCTTCCCAGGGATTCCCTGGGAACGGAGTCCCTAGACATGTTTCAAAAAGGAACATGGTGAGGAAACAGTTCTTTTTACTGTAGGGAAAAGCCCCAAACTGGCCTCTTGGGAGATGAAGTCTGGAATGATCCCAGAGGACTTTTAATTAGTGTAAATCCTGTTGTCCTCAGAAACCCTGACCTGACTTTAGCAACACAGTCACAGTGACCTAAGAGGCAATTTACTTTCCAGAGACCCGCGGTGGTGCTGTTCTAGAAGCACGGCGGTGTAGCAAAGGCAGCGGGACAAAAAACAGGCTCCCAGATGGCACAGCTCCTGGCTAGGGGTTGTCTGATACTAATGACTGATTTGAGAGTCAGAATTCAGCCATTGGCTGGTCTTAAAACACAGTCTTTAAAAACAAAGAAGCCAAATTGAATCAATATTGTTGTTTCTAGATGTTCCTTCTGTGGTTTACTTCGTTTTGCATAAATAACGCTATTAAGGCACCAGTGGGGGGAGGCAGTTAAATGATCAGTTATAACCACGGAAAACAGGGGACGGAGTTAGAGATGGAAAGCACTTCTGAGTACTTAATTCAAGAATATCTTTTGATTTCAATTTAAGATTATGACATAATACAACCGACTCTTGACTGAAAGCTTTAATGTCTTATGACCAGATTTAGCAGAATATTTAAAATAACAATAATATTACCTTCTGATTATTTTTCCCAAAAGAGATTTTCTTCTCTAGATCCTTTAGCCTCGCTGGGCTTTGGCCACAACCCTGTCACATATACAGCAAATCATCTTCAGGCCTCAGTATGATGAGGTCCTTAGGTGACTCCAGAACCCGCTCAGAGAGTCCTGAAGGTTTGGTCTTCATCCAAAGTAACCCTATCTTTGGTCTTGAATGAGTGTTGATCCCTCAGAAAGCATTTCAGTGGCATTAGAAAGGGTTTGGGTTGAGATCTTATTTTATTTTGGTTTTATTTTTCTCCTTTGACTTTCATGTCACTATTTTATTTTATTTTTGTGGAATAGCACAGCGGGAGGCAAAGGCAGAAAGAAGAATCAAACTCAGAATGACTGTTGAATTTACCCATCTATCAGATTGGGCTACCTCTCAGGTTGGCCCTGAGAAGGTATTGGGTAAGATTTTAATAACCTTATATGATGAGCTGGATAATAAAAGCTTGAGTGTTCTAGAGCATGGTCCTTGTATTGTGTGTCTTTATCTCCCGATGATGGAAGTCAAATGCCTGACAGCTCAGAATCATAGGCGACGAACCCCTAAAAACCCACTTTTATTTAGCCGCACAATCTCAGACTGGTTTCAGCTTCCCAGAAAATGCCAGTCTCTGGTGTTCACATCTCCTGCCGGTGGCACCAGCAAGGATCTTGGTCTTTTCATTAGAAAAAGCCTTCTCCAAGAGTGAAGTTTTCTCAGCTGCATTTTCCAGCACGTGTCAATGAAATGGCAGAAGTTCTTCACAGCACCCATGACTACTGGTCATTCTGTACAAAGACAAGACCAAGCATCTTCGCATTGTTGCAGGATGGATCGAGCCTGGAATTGACCCTGAAGATCTCAGAATCCCAGGAATCAGTAAGGCTTAGACAAATAGAATTAAAGTTGGGGTGGGGGCGGAGAGTCAGAAAGGTACAGGTCCATCTCTTAAGAGTTTTCCATTGTGAGAAACCAGTGAAGAGTCTGTGTCTAAAATTAAATCGGTCTAGAGGCAGCAGGAATCCAGTAGTTACTTCTGTGACCCTCTGCTATTCCTTGTGGCCAGAAGCTATTTAAGTAGCAGAGTGAGTCAAGATGCCGTTGTCTCTCTCTCCTTGGAAAGATGAAGTATCACCTCATTATTAAACTGAAGCTCAAGGATTCCTAAGGGATCACTTCCTTATTTTTTCACATGCCATTAAAAAGAATCGTGAGCATTGGAGAGAGAAGTGTGTGTGTGAAGCATCCTGGTTCTAAAGTTAGGAGGATAGACATTGTCATGTCTTTGGCCTTGGAGCCCTTTCTGCAAACAAGACCCATTGTCTTCTATCCAGTGCTTTTTAGCATTCAAACCAAGTAACGTGTGTCCCCTTCATGAATGCATTTTCCTTTATCTATGCCAATATTCTTCTCCTGGCTTAGTTTCAAGATGCTTTCCTTCCATCAGGAGGTATGGTCAAAAGTGTGCCTCATTTTATTTAATGTTACTTGCAGCATTAGATCCAATGCTCCCCTCACCAACCAAAAATAAAATGAAACATTGCCTCATTATAGGGTTTGGGCTAATCTGTGTTTCTATAAAAGCAATCTGTTTTTCTTTTAAAACATAGTTTAAAGAATCCAATTATCTAATATATATCCAATATTTTATGTATAGTTAGAGATTTCACAATAATTGTGCATACACTTAAAATATACAATATCCAGCTGATGTTTGAAATTTGTCTTACTTTCCAGACCTCGTGTTTGTCCCATTCTAAAAGCTGGGGGTTAACTGATTTAGCAGAAGATGCCTAGCTTTTTATAAAAGAACAAACATTACGTTTTCTAAAGACACTCCAAATGATGGCTACTTGATGTTCTCAAGACCTTTAACTGTGGTGACAAAATAGCAGGACTTGCTTTCAAGCCTTAATAAATTTAAGTTGCCTTTTGATGAAGATACTGCTGAATGTTCTCTTCATGAATCTGAACGAGTTATAAATTTGTTTTCCAGTCTTGATTGGTATTAACTGATTCAAATAAAGTTGGTTTATTTTCAAATATTACAAAGGCAATCATCAGACTGCTTATTTGAGGTGCGGATTTCCTATGCTATTTAAATGACAAGTATGAACTACCTCCCCTCCCAATAAAAGTTATTCTGTTTTCCCATTATAAAAGAAAATATGTTCATTATTCTTAAAAATCAGAAGCAAAGAAAAAGAAAAAGAGGAAGAAGAAAAGGAAAAACAAGAAGCTTGTGACCCAGTCATCCAAAAATTTTTATTTTAGCAGGGCTAAATTCTATTATAGAACATGGGCTGGGTTAAAAAAAAAATAGACTGATGTTCATTCAAGATTCTCACTTCAATTTCCTATCTGTATCATTATACCCGAGGTAAGCCAATAGTGACAGTTCACGTATGATTTAAGGCATACTTTAAAATACTAGTCTACCTGCACACAAAACTCCCTCTTTGCGGACAGTGGCCTGGCCCTATCAGTGTTCCTGGCCGAAATTCCCACCCCTAGAACATCACTGACTCTAGAATAAGGTCTCCAGAGTCTTCAGTTTTACCTGAAGCCAACATTGATATCAGATGAAGTCCTGACAGGAGAGGTGGCCTGTAGGTCACAGCAGGTTGTAGCAGATGCTGTCCATGGTCT